GCAGCACCTTTTATCAATGGCGAGCGGACGCCGGCACACCCGAAGCCACACCCACATTCCTTTGTCATGCTGCACAGAAAGTCACATCATCACTAGCTACCAACCGAGAATTGTGAAATAATAATAAGAATATATATATTTTTAAATAGGGCTAATTCTGAATTTCTCTTCAAACAGAATAACAAGTTATTAAATTAAGCTATTTTCATGGCAGGAACCCAGTAAAATCAGTTAAAACTAGGTACATAAACATTTAAGAAGGACATAAGAGATAAACAAACAGGATACATTATTCACAGAAATATAAAATCAGAAATCAGAAAACATAACAAAATAATTTTAAAAAAAAACGTTGCTACTGAGAGAACAGTAACCTGCTCACGCACATTTCTGTGACCTTTATTACTGCATCTTATAGATGACATCACACATGATGACATCACTACTGAGCAGGCCATTCCGATTGGCTGAAGGGAAACCCTGCCCATGTTAGCTCTCATAACGAGACACTCTGAAGCAAACGTAAGCGAGAGAGCTCTCACTGCCATAGCAGCATTAGCCTTAGGCCAAGCGTGATTCATTCACAGCATGTAACTGCTGCTTGCTTCAGTGTCGTCTCAGACATGCCCAGAAAATAACCCTCTTTCCCAACCGGTAGCTCATCCAGTCTACAAGAATATACTGTGTGGCACGAGAAACATCTACTTGAAAATAGCTGGCCAGTTTCTTCCTGGATTTCTGTGGACATCTCTGCTCTGTGCAAGGAGAATGTGATATTGATTTTATCCTGGCAAAGAATTTGAATCAATAATTGCTAGCTGGTACAAGGAAAGCTGCTCTTTTTGTACCACAAATAATTCAGTCAAGAGGAGCATACTGACTACAGACTATTAATTTTATATATACATATATATATATATATATATATATATATACACTAACCAATGAGTTGATTTTTTAAAACTCATACAAACAGACACTGCAGCAAACAAACTGTAATAAGCAAGCGGATCAAGCATTGACAATCTCTCCTCTGTCTGCTGTGTATTTGACTTCCCATTTTAGACTGTTTATTTTACAGTGGTTAGATAAAGATCAGTGCTGTGAACTTCACCAGTGAGTTAACAAACTACATGCAAGATACAAGAGATGATGGCATAAAAAACAGATGAAGTAAGGAAAGGCAACCATTAGCTGAATTATGCCTTCATGTGATTCCTTCATTGACGCTATGTTATACACACAAGTTATTTTTAACAATGAATACATTCAATTCTTACTTTTATTCAGCAAAGATACATTAAATTGTCAATTTCAAAATACATTAAATTGTCAAAATCAAAAGTGACAAAAGTAATGCTGATCAAATAAAATGCTGATCTTTTTTATTCAGTCACAGTTTCCACAAAGATATTAAGTAGCATTGATATTGAAATACATCTTGAGCAGCAAATCAGCATTTTAGAATGATTTCTGAAGGATCATGTGACTGAAGACAGGTGAAAATTCAGCTCTGCCATCACAGGAATAAATTACATTTTAAAGTATATTAAAATAGAAATCGGTTTCAATTTTAAATTGTAATAATGTGTCAAAATATTACCGTTTTGACTATTTTTGATTAAAAAAAACCCTAAACCTACCATACTTTTTAGAGGCAGGATCATGTGGATGTAGAAACTTATTTCCAGCATTAGCATACTGCTTCACAACACTCACAAAACATGCTACTATGGCTGTGCAAAAAATCAAATGCGATTTTCATGCGCACCTCGTTAGTAAAGCCGCTCCTGTGATTAGTAGTAAATCTCCAGCATGTGCGTTCAGATGGAGCAGCATTTACTACACAGAGCCGCAGTTCACTGACAAGCTACAAAAAAATCGCGTTCAAAATCGCAGGCGATTCATTGCCGATTTTGAACGCGATTTTGCGTAGCTTGTCACAGCCCTACATGCTACCATCAGAGGACATTAAACATGCCCCCCTGCTGGCACTTTCACTGACCATCACCAGTGTAGCATTCCACATTAACCCTTAAGAATGGCCACAGACACTTGACTTTACTGGCTTAACTCGAGCGGTTGTTCTGTTATGCTGACCTATACTACTTTTGAAGTGTTCATGCATTTAGCACATTTCTATGGGTGAGCTTTGCTTTCACAAATCTGGGCGAGTGAGAGAAACCTTTAATACTTGAAGCGTCAAGTGCTTCTCTGGGTCTGTGCAGATAAATTCAGCGCATCGTTTAAATTCATGACTTTTTAAAGCTGTCAGCACATTCTTCTCTCCAACCTCCCGTGCTCGTTTAACCCTTTTCCTTCTCCGTCCAGGGAAAAATAGCATCTTGCTCAGCACAAAACCCTGATAGCAGGAGGCTCGAGGAAGGATACACAATTTGCTGAGGCTTGCACCGCAATGTCACCATCCTCCATAACAGGAAGTCAGGACCCATTGTGTAGAAAGCTAAATCAACATGTTAAAAGCTCTGACCATATGACTATAGGTGACAAGTGACCAGCCTAGCAGGTTCAGCATGGACAGCAGAGCAGGAAAGGGGAAAAGAAAGAAAGGAACAAGCACAGAACGCTCTCGGCAATGAAATCCAAGTTCATTCAGCGCTGAGCAGCTGAATATGGATAATGGATCTCCATCCACACGAGATAGTCATGTGTGATCAGCAGAGTAGAGTTCAAAGATCAAATGCACTCACAGGGCCTCAAGGTAACGTATTAAACGGCATGACATAAAACACACGAAACCCATTTGCAGATCATATGACTTGCCCCCTGTATCATGCTTGCCTTACTCTTAAAACCAGAGTAATTTACTTAAGTGATTTGCATTGAAATCAATGCACTACAGGTTTTCAAAAACAACTAACTTGCTCCACTAATATGCATAACTAATGTGCAGCCAGCATCCAATGAAGAACATAATACAGGCCTGCTGCCTTTGTATACTAAAATCATCTTGTAATATACAATACAGTAAACTATAAATGATGTATATGGAAACAAGTGTCACTTATAGTGGTTATAGACACCAGTTTTATAAATGTACCTTTCATTATACTATCCATTTTGCCGTATAGAGGTTTCAGCAAACCAAAATAAAGCAGCACTACAATGTGAATCGGACATCATGAGCAAGTTTTGTCTTAATAATACTGTCTTCCTTGTGCCATTTACAGCATTATGCCACTGACTCCTATTGTACTCTGACCATTAGCTGGCACTTCACTGGAAAAGTGCTGTGCTACATTTGCATTTCATAAAGTTAAAATACCACCAGAGGGCTTCAGGCTCTTTTTGCTCCATTATGCTCTTTACTTCTGCACTACTCTAGGATATACGGGATATACAGACAGGATATATGGCAAGTAAATATGGCATGCCTGAACTAAAAACGCACATATTCATTTCCACACACAATAATATGGAAACCCTGAACGTTCAGTACAAAAAGACATTCACCATGATGTACATCCACAGACAGTCTGCAGACTCTCTCAATCTAGAAAGCTCTAATCTAATTTGCGATGTTATTTCAGTATTATTTATAGACTATTATAGTATTTATTAACATTTTGAATGAGCTTATTTATTTTAGTTTAAAATTTTAGCAATTTTATAAAAATTTTGTCATGTGCTGTTATTTTAAATATTTCTATTTAGCTTCAATTTATTTGATTTCAGTTGTAGTTTTAGTAATTTTATTACTTAGGCAGCACTTCTCATTTTCATTTTAAGATATTAAGTTTTAGGTTTATCATTTTTTTATTTTAACTTTATTTCAATCAACAGAAACTATTTTAATAGTTTTAAATTTATGTAACAATAATAACAGCTCTGATTGGCTTTAATGTAACTTGCAAACAAAGTCCTGTTTGGTACCAGTTTGATACTACACTTGTATTGAAATAATGAATGAATAAAATAGCAAAGTTTGCAACAATATTGACATCTAATTGTGTTTAAATGGGTGTTTTTTGTCCTAAATAAGCTGTGATGTGGACAAGTGGTCACTTGCTACACAAAACTATGACAAATACAGACCATTACAGGCCTGACACTGGGTAAACACGATGTTTAACAACAGATAATTGATCCAGAACTAGGACAATTTGTCATACTATGACCTTTTTCAAGGACACATAACAATACACTCAAAACAAATACAAAAAGTACACTCAATTATTTTAAAGACGAGATGCATTAAATGGTGACCAAAATGAGTTACACAATGTCCTAAAAGCCTTTAAGCTGACCGAGAGCCTCAAATGAAATAGACAGAGAAGAAGTGACAGCAAGCAACGTATGAGTTCAGTGCAAATAATAAAAAATTGCAAAGGCATCATGGGACCATACACGCGTCTATAGGTGGGGTGATTTTACACCTGCTACCTGAAGCAGGTAATCTCGACACCTCGATCACAAATCTGTTGTATTATAATAGGACAGACAATAGGGAATAAAACAAGACTGAATCCCTTCTGTCATTTACAGTGATTCATTTCAAGAAATAAAGAGACTATTTATTCTAAATTTTCCTCTGTACGTGATTTTTTAAATACAAAGACACAACCAGAGGCAAAGACAGCTAGTGTTGATAAGCACTGTGACTACAAATCTCAATATTCTCGAAACAATCACTTACATTTCCCAGCCATAAATCTTTTTCAAGTTACATTACAATTTCAATACACTGCATTTAAGTCCGTATAACTTGATCAAACCCTCTAAATGTTTGAACAATTATGCTCAAAAATGCTGTCTAGGAAGGCAGCTCACTGGGTTTTATTTGTGACACAACCAGAATATCTATTATTCAGCTGGTTAACACCGACAGCAGCTAAGCTAACTCCCCTGCTGCTGCTGATATTCACCGGGGAATGGGTTACTAGTAAAATTGCTTATTTAAAAACACACTGATGTGTTCACTATAAACTCATAATAAAATAAATGAGACACTCATTTGAATATGTTTTAAAGCGCTTTACCTGCAGGTGCTCCTGGAATCTGATAGGCAGGATTTGAGCCATGGTGGTTCCTCTTCGCTTTCCTCTCTAATTCCTGCCCAACCTAAACTACTCCAGAGTCGCGAATGAATGGAGGTGGTCTTGTGTTTTTGGGAGGGGGGAAGAGGGGGGCAGATGAACCGGGAATGTTAGATTACTCTAGTTGCCCGCTGAATGTAAACGAGGCGCTTAAACTCCAGAATGTCAACCGCCGCTGAGAGGAACTCTAGAAACCTGCAATGGCGGCGGAAACCGTCCGGTGGAGAAACGCACCGGAAAGAGACGTAGACCTCAATGGAGGCGGAGGGATACATGTACTGTGTGGAAGAGGGATTTTAGTTGGTTTGATAACAAGATTTTACTACTTAGATGCAAAATTCCCACACATATATTGCGAATGTGTTATAAGTATATTTGGATATGGGAGAAGTTAATAAGATAAGTTTGAGCGTAAAGGCTGAGGGTACTAGTTCTTTGCGAATCGCCCTTTGCTTTTTGCCACATCATTCGTCCTCGTGAGTTGACGTCAGTTCCGATATTATTTCTCATGTTTTATTTGTATATTACAGACAGGGGAGAACTGTACTTTGAGTGTGCAACGTTATTGGTAATGTTCTGATTGTCTGTTGATAGGAAAATGCAGTACTGAGTCGTTTACAAGCGGCAAATGCAGGTGTTGGGCTTAATAAAGATCTTCTTCGTGGTTAGCAAACGATAGGATACATGTGCAGGATTGGTTTCAATTGATTATAAATAAATCACTATTGTTGTTATTCGTGTTCAGAGTATACGATGTTTTACTTAGCGCTCCGAACGATTCAGTGGCTGAGAGAGCTGTCCGACTCATTCGAACTGATTCGCGATCCATTTCTGACCGTTTTTCTGACTTGTTTGATTAGTTTATAGAAAAGAGCTGATTCAAAAGAATGATTCATATGTGAATGATGCCCGAATCGGTTAGCACTACTTCTGAGAAAATAATGTTGGAGCACGTCAGGTCTGTTTTATTTACTTGACTACAAATACTTTAATTATTATTTGTAATATGTGCAATGTTTTTGCAAGTTTAATCATATAAAAAAGCATGCGGTCTACTTAATATTATAAATATAATATATTGATATTTATATATAATGTATATTAAATAACACCCATTAAATAGCAACATATGATCACCCTAAATTGTCGTTAATTTACCATGAATTGCATAGATTTGATTAGAATTGTGCAACTGTAACCAGCACAAGCACTAATTCTTCATCTTGAGTAATTCCAGAAAGTGGGTTAGTGCATTAGAAAAACGCATCTTAATGTGAAATTAAGGAGTGTTGAGCAATATGAAATATAATTGTAATGAAACACAAACACTTGTTGACCAGTTCACTAACAGCAACCTGTTTTTCAAGCACATGGCGCATACTGGATGCACACTATAGTTATGTCTAACAGACAAGGGTGTGATCAAAAGCGAAGTGAATTTGTTCGAGTCTGTAATGGTGGGGTTGATAGCCATAAAATGTAGTCATTTCCTCTAAAACTTGGTCAGAGTTTGTGAACAGTCTGCTCTGCTCAGAGGAAGGTGTGGCATGCATAGTGAACTTGTTGAACTGACTCTAAAAGAAACATCTGTACAACTTGTGTGTCCATGTAAAACTTCCATATACCACAAAATAACTGCTTGAGAATGAGCTAAATAAAACTGTACTATAAAGAGAGTACTGCACTTCTATACTATTTAGAAAACAAGTAAAGTATTGTTGGCTGTGCCCTAATTGAAAGTGCGCAGTTATAAAGAAAAGTAGTGGAATACTTATGTTGTTCTGCCACCTAGTGTTTTACTAGAAAAACTACAAGCACTACAAACAGTAACCTCAAATAATCTTGAAAATGTTTTTTAATGTTATCCATAATTTAAGTGGTCTATGCAATACATAATACTTTACTGTGAATAAATAAAACATTTGGTCACTGAAACTATGACAAAAACATGTAAAGTGTTCATCAAATGATCCCATATAACATAAATACAGTACATTTCCATTACCATAAAAATTGGAATACTTGAAATATTACTAATCCAATAAGTACGAAGTTTACCTTATACAAGTTCTATTACAAATACTCTAAAGTGCAAACGGTTACTGTTATCATTCTTTAAAAAAAATTGACCAGTCACAAATGCAAAAAAACAGTGACAGCAGAACTACAAAAATACATTTTTTAAAAATGTGGTCAGTCATCTTAGTGGTAACTTCAAAAAAACACTTTCCAATGGAACACCCTCACACTGACACCAATGAACTTCATCCTGTAGTAACAGTGGTTACTGAAGCTGGTGTACTAGGTTTGAAGTGCTGCCCCAGTAGCCGTGCTTGCTACGGTACCCCTGCTGGACCCAGCTGTGCGGTTTAAAGGAATGGTTAGGTCTGCAAGGGGGGCGGATTATGTAGTGTGGCCGCTGAGGGTAATGCCCTTTCCCCAGGCCAAACTTCTTCCTTGGTACAGGATGCCATACTGGGGCACTGGCATATAAAAGCTGTATTAATAAAGAAGATGACAGCATATATAGAAAAAAAATTGTTAGAAACAATGGTCCTACATACATGTTGTGCATTATATTTTACTGATAAAAGTAAAACTTGGCTAAACTACCTTTTAAAATTAGTCTACAATTCATTCAAATGTACACTCAAAATATTTTATTTCATGCCATATCAGTTATATATACACATTGCATAAAAACTTTGACATACATATTGACATAAAAGTTAGTGTGCTCAACCAGCTGAAGAGGAGGTGCAACCAAAAAATAAAAGGTCCATCTTGCTTGAAGCAAAGGTGCAACAATCACTTAAACTTTGATTAAGAACAAGTAAGGTTTGTTGCTACCTGTCTGATAAAGGTCTTGAGGATGGCCGAAATGTTGTTTTTAATCAATAAAGGTTGTTTATTTTTCTAGAAATGAGTGTCGCATCTTTTCTTCAAGCCAAAAATAAAAAATAAATAAAATAAACCCCTTTTACACAGTCTTTATTGGTAAATTACCTTTAAGAGACCATGTGCGAACAGGACCTATTCAACAATACTGGTAAATCAGTCCTGATGCTTTTAATTGTTTTTCTATTTAAACATGCGCTAGACGAACATCCAACCATTGCTCCATGTCTCACGCTCAAGACCTGCCTTTTCCATTCACCAGCGCTGCTGTTATCAGATTGGACAGATAGAGAAACTAAAGCACTTCTCCTAATCTAGGTGGATGAAGACAGTGCAGCGTTTAAAGGTAAGTTCTGGTGACTGACATCAGAGTTTGTGAATGAGTTTGGGTACTGATGTGTGAATGGTATCTTACTGGAAAAAGAAGGAACATTGGCTACGTTTACATGCACAGTTTTTGGTTCAATCGGACTGAATTCATTACGATTGATGAATCTGAATGTAGTGTTTGAAACTAAAGCACTTCTCCTAATCTAGGTGGATGAAGACAGTGCAGCGTTTAAAGGTAAGTTCTGGTGACTGACATCAAGAGTTTGTGAATGAGTTTGGGTACTGATGTGTGAATGGTATCTTACTGGAAAAAGAAGGAACATTGGCTACGTTTACATGCACAGTTTTTGGTTCAATCGGACTGAATTCATTACGATTGATGAATCTGAATGTAGTGTTTACATGAACGCTAAATAAAACGATCGGGTTGATGTGTGCATTTATGTCAAGCTTCAAATCTGAATTTTTATTTCTATATTTTTTTTTACATGCGCACACTGCACAAATATGGAGTTTCTCACTATTTGCACATAATAACCACTCTCCTACACGGTTTCTTTATTTGTTTTTAACAGCAGAATTCATATTTATCCATATATGGATAAATATACATATAAACCTCTGTGCCGTGCTGCTCATATTTATCACGCAGTAAAAATGCCCCACCCAGTGCCCAAAACGGGTTGCCTGTGGATGAGAATCCAAAACAAGGACTGGTGGGAGGTTGTCCTACTCAACTTCACAGTTGCCGAGTGAAAGGGGAGTTTTATAATGACAGGACACGCACTTATACAACACTTTATTCAAAAGGAAGAACTGCTCGTTCTGTGGGTCATACGTCATTATGCTATTTCTGCGTAATTACACATGCGCAGTCCTTTCAGTTTCGGGGTTCAATCCGATCGAGTGTTTACATGCACTCTCAATTGTATTAGAAAAGGAAGAAAACACCCCCTTCAATCCGATCGAAATGTCATTCTGATCCAGCTCAATCGGATCGATTAAGGTGTTTACATGAAGCCTTTTCAGTCTGATTGAGCCGTTAATCCGATTACAAACGGATTATTTGGTTGCATTTAAACGTAGCCACTGTTGCTTGTGTGAACAGGGATGCATTAAATTGTTTAAAGATTCCCTTAAAGACATTTATAACATTACAAAAACAATCTCCATTTCAAATTAATGCTGCTCTTTTGAACTTTATTTAAAATCCTGAAAAAAAAACAACAACATTAGAGAGTTTCTACTAAAATATTAAGCATATTTAAATATGAAATAAAATATTTTCAACTGGGATAAAAATTGTTTCTTGAGTACCAAATCAGCATATTAGAATGATTTTTGAAAGATCATATTACACTGAAGATTGGAGTTTGCATCACTGGAATAAATTACTTTATAAAATTGATTAAAATAGAAAACCATTATTTTAAATTATAATATTTCACAATATTACTGTTTTTACTATATTTTTGATCAAATCAATGTCACTTGGTAAGCAGAAGAGACTTTCAAAAACATAAAAACGTAGCTACTATTGAACAGTAGTGTACCTGTGGCAATCAACGCAAAACAAACTTATTTAGGACATTTTGTACCTGGTATGGAGTGTGGTTGTGGAGAGGTGGGGTGTACTGGGCCTCTCTACACCTGGTGTCCTCATCCGAGGAGGATCCGGAGTGGTAATCTGACGTGACCCTCTCCACAGCGCTCGTCACTTTCTTTGTCACATCCTCTTTATCATCAGCATCATCATCACTTGAGAAGGTGGCTACAGTGAAACCATGATTCCTCTCACCATACCTGTGTCCAATTCACATGTAAACATACGTCAAAAAACAAACCAGTAGAGCACTTCTAAATAAACAGAAAAACATCCGCTTTATTTCATAAACTTACCTACAGCACACCTCTCCAGGGTCGACCCAAAGCGTGAGCTCCTTGGGCAGACCAAGGTCCTTATACTGCACTCCACTCTCAGCACACGCTCTGAGCAATTCAGCATCCTCTTTATGGAAGCGGTTCACTCTGATGCACCTGCACAGGATACATATATCTCATTTTAACATGACGTGCACTACATGCATCCCGTTCTGACTAGGGCTGTCAAAATGGCTGAAAAACTCAATTCAAATTTCGAATTATATTCGAATTTAAAATGCATAACTTCAGTTAGGGTGAAGAAAAGCTTTTGGCTTCTCTCCTGAGGCCACAAGAGGTGCATCAAGCAAAATATTACTAATCCACCTTTACTCAAAGCATCAGGTAACACGACTATCTGTGAAAAAAAAGTGCATAATGTTTAAAATAATGTTTATAAACCAATTATAATTAAGTTGTATAAACAACTATAAACAAAACAGCATCATGCACGTATGCATAGTTGAATACAAAGGGCCGAACACCAATCACAGAGTACATTTTTCATTTAAAACCACGAGTTGCAGTGGGATGGGGGAAAAACCCGCCATAAAGTCTCGAGATTTGTTTTTTCAAAGTTGAACTTGCATTCATTTTACATGGCTTTCTAAACATGCGGCTCTCTACCTGCGTCACTGAATTTGCGGCACAAACACAAAAGAACCGCTAGATTTATATCAGCACAGCCAGCGAAGGATCGAACGCAACTGTTTTCAACGAGCGCACCTTTTTTTAACAACCAAAAAGTGCATAATGTTTAAAATAATGTTTATAAACCAATTATAATTAAGTTGTATAAACAATATAAACAACTATAAACAAAACAGCATCATGCACGTATGCATAGTTTAATACAAAGGGCCGAACACCAATCACAGAGTACATTTTTCATTTAAAACCACGAGTTGCAGTGGGATGGGGGAAAAACCCGCCATAAAGTCTCGAGATTTGTTTTTTCAAAGTTGAACTTGCATTCATTTTACATGGCTTTCTAAACATGCGGCTCTCTACCTGCGTCACTGAATTTGCGGCACAAACACAAAAGAACCGCTAGATTTATATCAGCACAGCCAGCGAAGGATCGAACGCAACTGTTTTCAACGAGCGCACCTTTTTTTAACAACCAAAAAGTGTTGTTGTCTGTTGCGGAAGTACAGACGTTCCTCTCGTTGATAGCAGAGGAGCGGATCCAGCGAGAGCTTGATGGGGCGACGCGGAATGAAAAAAAGTTTTTTAGGAGACGAGGTAGTAGAGCTATAACGACATGTGAATAATCCCGCCCACTCTAAAGCGGTACTTAACTGCAGTGGACACGCAAACCGAGCCGAGCCGAGTCGTACCAATCAGTGGAAAAGCGCCATAAGTGGAAGAGAGGGGGTACGCAGAAGAACGTTAAATGCCCCAGGGGGTACGCCGCTGTAAAAAGTTTGAGAACCACTGCTCTAGATAATGCATTAAATATGCGTTTCTTGTGAACGGCTTGGTTTCAGTTTTGACGTAAACAAGATCTTCTCCGCATTGATGTTCTCTTTTCCCGCGATATCTGTAATTAACAACGCAGCAGCACCACATCTAGTGGCTTCAACTGGACAGGCTAACAAAAACATTCAAATGCAATGACACTTACATCGTCATCGCATCTTGTGCGCCACTGATAAGGCTGCATCCTTAACGCACACCTAAAATTGTGGATTTTTTATAAGATCCCTAAAGTTGCAAAGACTAAAGTCTCAAACCCAAAGAGATATTCTTTATAAAAGTTAAGACTCGTACTTGGAGCCTGAGCCTTGTATTGGACTTTTAGGTGCAGAAAATGCCTTTTGCAGTAAATATCTCAAACAGGCCATTTCGCTCTGCATGTTACTTGCAAAAAAACTGATCTTACAGATGTGGAAAGCAGATTCTGTCCCTACTTTTGAGATGTGGGCAAGGGAACTGGGAAATATGTTACATTTGGAAGAACTGAGATTTATATTAAAAGATAAATTGTCAATAAACCACGAGTTGCAGTGGGATGGGGGAAAAACCCGCCATAAAGTCTCGAGATTTGTTTTTTCAAAGTTGAACTTGCATTCATTTTACATGGCTTTCTAAACATGCGGCTCTCTACCTGCGTCACTGAATTTGCGGCACAAACACAAAAGAACCGCTAGATTTATATCAGCACAGCCAGCGAAGGATCGAACGCAACTGTTTTCAACGAGCGCACCTTTTTTTAACAACCAAAAAGTGTTGTTGTCTGTTGCGGAAGTACAGACGTTCCTCTCGTTGATAGCAGAGGAGCGGATCCAGCGAGAGCTTGATGGGGCGACGCGGAATGAAAAAAAGTTTTTTAGGAGACGAGGTAGTAGAGCTATAACGACATGTGAATAATCCCGCCCACTCTAAAGCGGTACTTAACTGCAGTGGAAACGCAAACCGAGCCGAGCCATACCACGCAGTGGGAAAGCGCCATCTGTATCAGTAAGCAGTTTCTCTATATCATTTTCTGAACTCAGTCAAATGCCTCGATTGTAATCCTGAGGTTTTGTTCCCTCCTTTGACTAGCCAAGGTCTCCTGCAAAATCTTCAGAATTCCCACTGTTCTTCTAGTGCGGAGCGAGTGTTTTCTGGCGCCGGATTAGTCCCAGCACACAGAATGAGCCTGAATGCTTTGTGCAAGCTAATGTTTCTAAAAGTAAATTCTAAAATCCTGGTAAGACTAAGAGATGTTTTAATAGTCCGCATTTACTTGCAGTTTTGGTCTATTTTAACCATAGAAAATGTTTCTTTTATTAACGCCAGGACATAATCCAGGTGTGCATTTAATTTTGTGTGCTTTTCATGCGCCTGATAATTAAGTGGTATTTTGTTAAGCTCCATTTGCATTTTTCATCTTGATTGTGTTTTCGTGGGCTTGTTTTGAATGTTCTGTTGTGTTTTTAACTGCAGTGGACACGCAAACCGAGCCGAGCCGAGTCGTACCAATCAGTGGAAAAGCGCCATAAGTGGAAGAGAGGGGGTACGCAGAAGAACGTTAAATGCCCCAGGGGGTACGCCGCTGTAAAAAGTTTGAGAACCACTGCTCTAGATAATGCATTAAATATGCGTTTCTTGTGAACGGCTTGGTTTCAGTTTTGACGTAAACAAGATCTTCTCCGCATTGATGTTCTCTTTTCCCGCGATATCTGTAATTAACAACGCAGCAGCACCACATCTAGTGGCTTCAACTGGACAGGCTAACAAAAACATTCAAATGCAATGACACTTACATCGTCATCGCATCTTGTGCGCCACTGATAAGGCTGCATCCTTAACGCACACCTAAAATTGTGGATTTTTTATAAGATCCCTAAAGTTGCAAAGACTAAAGTCTCAAACCCAAAGAGATATTCTTTATAAAAGTTAAGACTCGTACTTGGAGCCTGAGCCTTGTATTGGACTTTTAGGTGCAGAAAATGCCTTTTGCAGTAAATATCTCAAACAGGCCATTTCGCTCTGCATGTTACTTGCAAAAAAACTGATCTTACAGATGTGGAAAGCAGATTCTGTCCCTACTTTTGAGATGTGGGCAAGGGAACTGGGAAATATGTTACATTTGGAAGAACTGAGATTTATATTAAAAGATAAATTGTCAATTTTCATCAAGATCTGGAAACCAATAAGAAGTAACCATGGGAACGGATAGCGTATCCTGCTAATATGGCGGCGCCTTCCCGAAATGCAATGTGGAGTGAAAAGATCGTGAGGTAACTCCTCATTCTCTATTAGAAAAACTTGATGGTAGTGTGTTTGTGTCTTGACGCAGACATGACGACACGACAGACATGATATTCAGCGCTGAGAACAAGCATCGTACAGATTATGCAATTCACACTTAAGCCTAGAGCGAATGAAACGCTCTCTAATTTTACAGTTTCAAAGCATGGAAACAGCATAATGCCACACTCTTTCAAAAACAAATATAAAATTTACCATTTGATGGATTCTCTCATCCGAGTAGAAAACCGCCCAAATGTGGCAGCTTCAGACTCGTAGTAAAACCAGGCCTCGGCGGGAATGGAGGCTAGAGGATCTGTCAACGAACCACAATGAAAGTAGCTAAAAAAGTATATATAACATAAATTGTAAGCACATTCCAAAAAATTATTTTACACGTAAAATCTCATTTTTTCAGGAAATCGAACCGGCATGAGAAACATTCAAACTCTTCTGTAGGGCTACATCTCTGCACCTCACGAACTCAACTCTTTAAACCTGACAAAAAGTCACTCGCAGTTAATAATTTCTAAATGTGTTCACCACCAATCATATTTCGAGTAAAATTATCAACAAAAAATGTTTTCCCGTTTAATTTTATAAAGAGAAAAGCAATCCAATTTACTGTCTCGTCGCATGAGGATAAAATGGCATCGTCGCTTCGCGAGGCAGCAGTCATTAAAGGGCGGAGTCCACTTCGTCTTCTTATTCGTTTTTTATTGGCGGCTCGCAATCACCAATTGAGCATTACCGCCATCTACTGAAGCAATGGACCAGAGACTTGAATTCCCTTCTCCCAGTCCTATCAGAACTCATGCTTTCGATGTTGCTGCGTGTTCAGCTCCTCCATCTACAGCCGAAGTCCCTCTCATCCCAGAGAATAGGAATAACAATAATAATCTATATTCTATGAATTAACGGAGTTCTTTTTAGAAATTGTATTAACAGACTATCACCTCCTACTGGATTCAAAATCTCTTTTAACGTTACTTGCTGCTCGCCGTTTTTTTGAAGTTCATCGATTAACTTACTTCTCTCCTCCGTATATCCATTACACTACATGTTCTACAGTTTCTCTAACTCCACACCAATCACACAGTCCTGTTGGATGTTTCCCTATTATGTGCAATGTTGAATTCAGCCCTGTATGCCCCCAACCTTAATCTTGAAAGAACACAATCTTCCTTTCTGCTCCCTCTTGAATTCCTTCCTCTACCTACCATTGGTTGTACTGAATGTAGATGTCTGCCTTTTATCTCTTTATCCCAAAACAATTGCCAATTTGTATTTATCCCCTTTTTAATTATTGACTTAAGTTCACCTTTACTATACAGAATTTGCATATCTATATTTTCCTTTGTCATTACTTGTTTACCTAATTGGTCTGCTTCCTCATTCCCTGCCACTCCTGTATGTGCCGGAACCCACAAGAATTGAACCATCCTATTTATCTGCTGCAACATATATAATAACTGAAGGATCTCCAAAACAATATCTTGTCTAGTTTCAGACTGTTGAGCTTCCAGGCATAATAAAGCTGAACTTGAATCTGAACATACTAATGTTTTATTTCTGTGACTTTCTTCTTCTTCTTCTTCTTCTTCTTCTTCTTCTTCTAATGTTTATTGGCGGTTTTGGCAAACCAACTTAAAGGTGCACTAGCGCCACCTACTGATCTGGAGTGTGGCGTGAACAGATTTGGTAGAGAGAAGGATATTATATTTTTTTTAAATATATATAAAAATACCTTCCCACTATTACAATTTATATTCTTTCCATATTTCCTGTCTTTTTTAGATAATTGAACACTTCTTCTTTAATTCTTCTTTACCACTCACTAGACTTGTTAGAACAGACATTGGATCTGTACATATTACAATATTATTTGGTTGTATTTCTTCAATCCATTGTAGTGCTAATATAATTGCTATTAATTCCATAGTAAAAACAGATCTGATATTCTTTTGGCTATTTTTATTTTAAATGCAGGAATATATACTGCTGCTGCTGTCCTTCCAGATTCAGGATCCTTCGACCCATCCGTATAAATCTGTAACTGTGAATAATAAGCTTGATTTATATACTGTTGAACTACTATATTTATAGGAATGATCTTCTCCTTTTCATTTATTTCTTTTTGTATTTGAAAGTCAATCAAAGGCATTGGAAACAACCAAGGTGGAACCACTGGAATAGCTACAGAAGGATTATTTTCATATTTATTCAACCCTAATCTATCTGCCTCCTTCTTTACTGTCCAACCGAAGCTCTCTAAATCTTTATAGTCATACTCCCAATAATCTTTCAAAAGATTTTTAACTGGATGATATTCTGAGTGACCCGTGACGTGACTTTGTCTTGTGCGCATGCTCAAAGGAAATGATTCAGGACTCGATTCTTTTGATTCGTGAAGCGAAAGATTAATTGTACATAAAAAAGTAAAATAAAAAAGCCTTTATTATGTTTATGGGTAGAAGAGCACACACATAAATAAATATAGGATGGTAGTGTTTTACTCCCTAGATTTTACCAAATCAAACAACAATTAATCAAAGCATACCGTTCAGCAAACGTGAAATACAAGGGTTATGGGCCCGTGGTCATTCGGGGAGAATGTTTTATTTTTGGGGGGAAAATTAATGATAAAGTAAAGGCTGGGCGCACTAGACGGACGCATTTTTAGAAATAGGACAGTGGCGTCCTCTGGCTTGAAAAGCGGTGTTTTGCAGGCAAGCAGGCCACACCGGCTTGATGAATTGATAAACTCGTGAACTTGTGATAGTTTTGTCTGTGTTGTGAACATTTGACATCAATTTCAACACGAGCGGCACATCTTGTCAGCAGGAAATATCTATCAGGGTATACACTAGTCATAATAAATGTGCTGAACTGAGCTGCACATCTTTGTCAACAGGAAATACCTCTCAGGATGAATCTACTCTCACTTCAATAAATGTGTTAAAAACATGGGTAGCACTTCATACACTATCACAAGGATAAAATAGTCACAACCTAGACTACATTAAAACTGAAAACACCAGTATATTCTGAATTAGCAAAACATACTATGAGTCATGATTATATGAGGGAAGTCTGATGATTATTATTGTCTTTTTTTTTTTTAGTTACAGGTCTACATGTCTCACTGGAATAATTGTTGCTGCATGAAGGATGACGATCTCTCAGTACTGAATACAGAACCTCACTCAGAGTTCAGAGTGGAGAATAAGCTCAGATGTGACAATGACCCTCACAGGCTGTTGACAGGAGTTAGCAGTGCAGAGATGAAAAAAGCTATCTGAATATTATAACCTATAAGGGTCAATTGAAGGGTCAATCTGTATTCTGATTGTAGCAAGTGGCCCAGTTGTAGTGACTACGTACATGAAAAGAGCAAGAGGCGTGAATCTCCGTACAAACAATCTTTTATTAAGGCTAAAATAATTGGCTGATATTAATTTAAAACCCACAGCCGGCACACACCAATGTCATCGATAAAAAAAAAACTAAAAAACAAAAAAAAACATCCAAATAATAATGCTGTAGAAAGCGGAGTCTTCCTATATAAGAAGCGGGTGAATGTAACAGCACCAGGTATGCAAAAGAGAAAAATCACACCCACAAGATCTGTCGCCTCTGGCTTGCTTAGTTGGGGACACTTCATTTCCAGCGTTATCGTTGACATGATTGCAAAGATATTATTTAAACTGAGCTGGATGTTGACATCACTGAATTCAATGATGAACTGTCTTTAACTGAAAAATGAGTGTTTACTATTGTCATTTTGCATTATTGACACTATTTTCCTAATTAATGCTGTTCAGTTGCTTTGACACAATCTGTATTGTTAAAAGCGCTATATAAATAAAGGTGACCTACATGATGTTTCTATGCTGAATGAACAGGTGTATTTATGTAAATTGTAATACCTCTAAATCTGTCTCTTTTCTCATAACATTCAGTAGGAGTCATGTGGAGTATTGTTGGTTGGCTCAGGGATGAGTGGTTTACCCAACACGAGTAGTTCACACAGTCAGATATATTCAGGTATGAATGGAGGGAGAATGATCTATCTGGGTTGGTTTTGTTAATGCTGTATGTGAGAGAGGAGTTCTGAAATTCTCCATTTCTAATCCACATCTGGTCTAGAGCGGAAGGGTAAAACCCCTCAGAGCAGCAAAGCATCACAGGAAATCCACCCAATACTCTTTCATGTGACACGGTCTCAGACACGGGGCGTGCTATCAGAAATATAAGTGTTCGTAAATATCAAAAGCAGATACATGTTACTCTACTACGCTACCCTCAAATGTCATAATGATTTCTGTTTCTAGTCACAAAAAAGAAAAGAAAAACCTTATCAATCACTTGGACAAATGTTCTTTCTTCCCTCAAATGCACAGAAGGTTTTATCTTGTCATAACGCATTTGTATGTGTATCATTTATCTGCAGGTTTGATACCTCAAATGCCATTTAAGTTTCTTGAATCCAAATGAATCTACAGTGATTTCTACATGAGTGTTTTGTCCATAATTGTTCTTTATAATTACCGAGCACAATTCATTTTTAGTTTGCAGCTCCACTATAAAACTTTCACTTTTACTTTCGTCATTTGATGGTTTATAGTCACAGCTGATATTGACTGACATTCCTCGATGAACAGTCTGAACTGAGGTGCCGTTAAACAATGCATGTCCAGCTAAAACAACTGAAAAAGACAGGGCTATAATAATAATGATGATGATAATAATAATAATAATAATAAATAAGACAATTACATTTTAATCCGTACAAAATTCTATATATATATATAATATAGCATAATGTAGGCACTATATATATACATGTGGTGAAGAGCAGCTTTTTTCAACTAATTAAAATCTATGCTCTCGTTTAAGGATTTGGAGATAGTTACTCATGCCTTCATCACTTCCAGACTTGATTATTGCAATGCGCTTTACAGTATATGGGTCTCAATCATTCATCGCTGAATCGCTTGCAGTTGGTCCAGAAGGCAGCCGCGAGGTTGCTAACTGGTACTAAGAGGAGAGAAAGCATTTCTCCTGTCCTAGCATCTCTTCATTGGTTACCGGTGCAGCATAGGATCCATTTTAAGATTTTATTATTTGTGTATAAAGCATTAAATGATCTAGCCCCATCATACTTGTCCGAACTTCTCAGCTATCAGCAATCCTCTCGCTCTCTCAGATCCTCTGATAAACTTTTCTTGCATATAGGCCTACCTCGCTCTCGCTTGAAATTGAAGGGGGATCGGGCTTTTTCTGTAGCCGGTCCTCGACTATGGAACAGCATACCTCTGGACATTAGATCTGCGCCTTCCCTTCCTGTTTTTAAATCCCGCCTGAAGACTTATCTGTATTCCTTGGCTTTTGGATGAAATGTATGTTTGTGTATGTTAATGTGTTTTGTATTGATTATGTGTTTTTGAGTCATTTCTTAGCCGGTCCTCGACTATGGAACAGCATACCTCTGGACATTAGATCTGCGCCTTCCCTTCCTGTTTTTAAATCCCGCCTGAAGACTTATCTGTATTCCTTGGCTTTTGGATGAAATGTATGTTTGTGTATGTTAATGTTTTTTGTATTGATTATGTGTTTTTGAGTAATTTCTTTTTATTCTCTTAATCTCTATATTTACTTTATTTGTATATGTACAGCACTTTGGCATACACTAGCTGTTTTTAAATGTGCTATATAAATAAACTGACCTTGACCTTGACCTTGACCTCATGATGGTGCAAATGAAGAAGTGATGTTGGTTTAAGGTAGCGGCGTAATTTTAGTCAAGTCAGAAACAGGATCGAGCAATATGATACAATACCAAGATAGTACTTATTTTGTAGACTGAAAGAAAAACAATCTAAATCTTAAAATCCTTTTAAATACCTATAATTTAAGTAATGAAAATCAAGAGCACTATGTGTTCTCATGCAGTTACTCCATGACAAACACCCTATAAAGTTTATCTGTTCATCCAGAGATTAGCCAATCAAAAATGATTTTGTTTAGAGCTTCATTCATTGGATCAATATAAAAGAGGTGTTACCCATTGTCTAAGCTACAATTGTGAAGTAACATCATGGCCTGCAGCTGTGACAATCTAAAAGTGCAAGGAAGTTCAAATGGTTAAAACAAATGTCCTGCATGCCTCATTTGCTTGTAACTATCTGCGCCTCTTTTATAGAGTATCTTCGTGCACCGAAGAACCAGTCTAGTTATTTTAACCACACAGTGTGGGAGGTTGTAAGCACCTGTAATGCAGGGCAGCTGTCATTTAGATCAAATGTGTGAAAATTTAGATATGATACAAAAAGAATAAACTGTACCATGACCACAAAGTCAGTGCATGGATGATGTACTCAGACCTAAATTACTGCCTGCTGTTGCACACAAGTTTCAATTGGATCTCAAGGCTGTCAGAGGAAGCTCTTTAAAAGCAACTTCCTCACGTTTATTTATACAAAATTTGGAATGCTATTTTTAGACTTTCGTTTTGTGTTTTGAAGCTATCCAGGCTGGAAAACTACACTACTTGATCTGAACAGATTTTAAAATACTAGGCATACTAGGCACATACACTTGCCGACTTTGTATATGGTTACAGAGGAAAACTGGGCATCATACACTTAACGACTTTCAAACACAACAAACTCACACAGAAACATGCACCTTATTGCTAAGAGACGCATGACAAATGTAGTTTACATTTTAATACAAAATCAGTTGTATAAATATGTATACGTTTTTATATCCTCCAACTGGATGAAATCATAGTTTGAGGCTAAAAAATTATGTCTGTGCCCATTATACAATATACAATTTTCTGTAAACCCCAAAATCTGTCAACCCAACTGCCAAAAATCTGCAGACTGGCTGCAACTCTTGGCAACAGGTGTTGACACGTTAAAATCTGTGCAAAAGTTGCTGTAGTGTATTCCAGCCTTTAGTGTAATGAATGAACACTGCAGAAATAGAGCAGTAGTGAAGCAGTAACAGATAATCAGAGCCATGCTAATATATTTAGGCAAACAGCATGTTTGTGAATGTTGTTATTATTAAGTTATTTTTCATATTAAGTAACTTACATTTTAGAAGCAATATTACCAGTTAATTTGTCCATTTTGGCTCTACCAACAAAAATAGTTTCAAAGGAATCCAAAGCAGAAAGAGCCACTGAGCATTTCAGAACAAAAGCAGTGGCATTTCTGTTTTTGAACTAGGCAGTTGAGTGAATTCAATGAATTACTCATAAAGAGTCACTTGTTTCGTTCCTGTATCATTCTGAACAAATCAACTGAATGCATGATTCAAAGACTCATTTATAAAAAGTCGCTTGTTGCTCAGCATATTGATGTAACCTGCAGAAAGACTTACTAAATCTCTTTTATTAATGCACTTTTGTTAGTTGCATAAACATAGCCACTATGTTAAGACTGTGTCTAGTTTGACTATGGGGGTAGAATCGTTGCATAATTCCAAATAAATACATTATGATCCACAAATAAATGTAAAGAGATTAACAAAAATGAAATGTATTGATAAATAAATAGAATGAGATCCACAAATAAATCTTAGAGTTTCACAAACAAGAATTAAATTCACACAAAAAATAAAATGAGATTTGCAAATAAAAAAAACATTCACAGATATATTTTTATGTCACAAACACAACTTTGCTGGCATTCATTTGTGAATCGCATCCTGTGCATTTGTAGATCGCTGCATGCATTTGTGGATAGCTCCCTGTGCATTTGTAAATCGTTGCGCTTATTTGTGGATTTTGAGACATTTCAAGCGTCAAGAGGCACTAATTAATAGACTAGCCTATATAAATATAGTGGTTCATTGAGTGAATCATTCATGTAGTTTCATTTGTAAATCATTTATCGTCACACACGTGCATAAATACAATCATAAAGTCGACACTTTATTGGCATAATTGTCAAGCATTTAGTATTTGCAAAAAATATGGTAGCAAATACTAGCATATACAGACCGTTAATTAGGTAAAGCGATACAATGAATATAAAAATATAGCCCTAAGTCACTTATAATTTATTATTATTATTATTAGGCTATTATTATTTTAATAACTGGTTAAGGCTATATTTTGTTAACACCTGACAATTATGCCAATAAAGTTTTTACATTATGATTGTAGGCCTATTTATGTCCGTGTGTGACGATAACTGAGCTGTTTTCATTTACAAATGAAACGTGAATGATTAATTAATTTCTATAATATAATAATTTCTTAATTTAAAATAAAATATTAATAAATACATCCCTGATAATCCCGGGTTACTATGGTCATGCAGGTTTGTTTACGCATTAAACTCATGGCCACGAGAAAAATATGTCGTTCCCTCAACATAGCATCTCGTGGCCACGACAAAATTAAGTGAACCGAACTGTGGATCATAATGTATTTATTTGGAATTATGCAACGATTCTACCCCCATATTTGACCAGCTAGCATTTAGCCAAGAGGTTAACAGTATTTACTTTTCTGATTCAATTTGGCCCAATCAAACACAAACAATGCCTATTTTGCGTGGAAGCAGAAACACTCTGTTTTCGTGCCTGTATCTTTAAATGCAAACGAGCTGCTGCTCCCTGCTCCTTTTCCAGAATAGGAGCCTTTACAGCTCTTACCTCAAATACTCCCCCCCAAAAAACATCTGTCTAGTTTTGATTATCATGTATATCGCACTGAAATCATGCATTTTAAAGCCATATCAGTTTAAACTTCTGATATAGTGTTTTCTGAGCGCACACATCCGAAGCACGCGCAGAGTAAGCAGCTGTCACACGTCACATGAGTACTAAAGTAAGTCCATTAGCTCTTTCATATCCTATTGCTCTTAAACTGTCAAATACACACAAGGTTGTTAAAAACGCGTTACAAAAACAGTCGGTTATGTCTGTGAAGGTAAACAGCTGGGAAAGAAATCGCATGTTTATATTAGATCTGTGTATGAAGTGACAGAAGCGTAGTATACAGTACCTACTGCTGTCTACGCTGTTAATATGACCCAAACAATAAATATAAACAGAAAATCACTCACTGCTCTTGACCGAATAACTTCTATATCTTTAATAAGAAGACATTTCTGACTTCCGGGAGGCGCCATGTGAGATCAAGATGCGTGCGAAGGCAGCTCCGTAATTTTCCATTGATATGTGAAGCAAAGTTAAGTGATATTTTATTTTCACGTCAATAAGTACAGAATACCCACTTAAGATGCCAAATAAACCCCAACAAAACGTAGAACAAACGACCGAAACCCCGAGAGACATTCAAGATGACTGTGGCGGCGAGGCTAGCACTGCGGCTAACAAGGCAGTGCTAGAGGGGATAGCTGCTCTCCTATTAAACTTTCAGCTATTCAAGTCGGAGATAGTTGAGGCTATCGACAAGAGACTAGACCAGTTCTCAACCTCCATTAGAGCAGAATTAACTGCTCTCAAAAAAGAGACTGATGTCACTATCTCGGCCATGAAAAGCACGATGGACGACTAAGCTAAAACTATGGCGGAGCTCGAACGTAGTGCAACTTTTACTTCGGATATGGTCTCCGAGCTACAAAAGGAGGTTGAAAAGCTAACAAGCAGTGTCTCACAGCTCACTGAGAAATGTACGGACCTGGAAAGTCGCAGTAGAAGGCAAAACCTGCACATTCTAAATATTAAAGCGGGCGAGGAGACTGGGCGCAAGACCACGGACTTTATTGCACACCTGTTGAAGAACGCGCTATCTTTGGAATCTTTACCTTTGATCGACCGCGCTCACAGATCTTTGAGAAAACGCTCCGATAACACGTCATATCCCCGGGCCTTCATTGTTAAGATGCACTACTTTCACGATTGGCAGGACGTCACCTGAAAAGTGGCTCAATTCAAGCCCATCATTTACAATGGAGAGAAACTCCTGATATTCCCTGATCTCCCAGCTGCCATACTGAAACAGCGTGCCCGTTTTAACAGAGCTAAAGTAGTCAGCTAACACCAGGTGGGCTGTTTTTTCAGTCAAGTTTACTGTTTCTTGGTAAAATTCTGATTTGATGTTCAAGCAAACCTGTGTTCTCAGGTATGTTTCTGTTCTGTTTTTTCATTTAAATTTTGTTGTGATAAAGGATCGTGGGAGGGGATGTCTAATAGGGTTCTGTCTGTGGGTGCGTTCCGCGGTGGGGGGAGGTAACCAATTCAATAACTGGGATGGCTGCTGCTCAGAGTAAGACACCTGACAGAGGGGTGGGAGCAATTTGGCTTTTTCTTCTTGGAACGTTAAAGGTCTAAACCATCCTGTTAAACGAAGTAAAGTATTGTCTCATCTACAATCTATGAACACTGATATAATATTCTTACAGGAAACACATTTTAAAAATGACTCCCATTCCAAGCTAAGAGCCAGGTGGATAGGTCAGTCTTTTCACTCTTCATTTTCATCCAAGGCTCGGGGTACTGCTGTTTTAAAAAGAAAAGGGGTCCCATTTAAACATAGGGCTACGATTGCAGATAAGGAGGGGCGATTCATCATAGTTGCAGGAGAAATGTTTTCAACACCTATAACATTAGTTAACATTTATGGACCGAACTTTGATGATCCACGCTTTTTTCAAAATGTGTTTTCCCGGATTCCTGATATATCACTTACTAATTTAATTATAGGGGGGGATTTTAACTGTGTCCTGGACCCATATTTAGACAGATCCTCTGCTCAGCGTGCTCCCCCCTCTAAATCCAGGGACTTTCTTAACATGTATATAAAAAATTCTAATGTTGGTGATGTATGGAGGCTAGCCAATCCAACGGGGAGAGATTACTCCTTTCATTCACAGGTCCACAACGTTTATACTCGTATCGACTACTTTCTAGTTGATATTAAGTTAATTCCCTTTACGTTTTAATGCCACCTATCATAATATTTTAATCTCAGACCATAGTCCAATTACATTTGCTCTAAAATTACCAGAAATTGCAACAACTCAACCATTGTGGCGGGCAGACCCCTATTTATTAAAGGATACAAAATTCTGTGAGTACTTGCGTATACAATTAGAGTTATTTTTTTAAACTAATGATCAACCGAACACTTCACCTTCTCTTTTATGGGATACCTTTAAAGCATATTTACGGGGCTGTTTTATCTCCTTTAAGGGTGCAAAAAAGAAACAAAATACAGCGGCTTTACAATCATTAGAAAGACAGCTTAGTAAATTAGACAACGAGAATGCTACAAAACCTTCTTTAGAACTGCACAAGAAAATATCCGCTCTGATGAGAGAATTCATGGGCTCTGTACTAAAACAACTATGAATAAAATGTATTTATATGCAGACGACGTCTTATTATATGTGACTAAACCTGCGTCTAGTATCCCTGTAATCTTAAAGGTGATTGAACAATACGGCTCATTTTCAGGCTACAGAATTAATCTAAACAAAAGTGAACTCATGCCAGTTGGGCTTAAAGATCTTTCACAAATTTTCCCAGTTCAGTTTAAAATAGCTAAAGACAGATTTACCTACCTAGGAATCGTTATAACTAGGAAATCTAGCTTGCTACGAGTAGCCAACTATGCCCCCCTTTTAGAAAAATTAAAAATAAATATTCAGTTCTGGAGGACTCTTCCTATTTCGTTAATAGGTAGAATAAATGCCATCAAGATGGTTTTTCTCGCACAACTACTGTATCTGTTACAAAACACCCCTCTATTTCTTTCCTAGTCCTTTTTTAAGCAACTAGATTCAATTATTTTACCCTTTATTTGGAATTATAAAAACCATAGAATTAAACAACTACATCTCTCCAAACCTAGAAATGTAGGGGGTCTTGCCTTTCCAGACTTCCGCTGCTATTACTGGGCGGCTAACCTCAGAATGATATCAATAATATTAAACGATAAAAGCGGACAACTTGACTGACTCAGATTAGAACAAGATGAATGTACCCTGTACAATCTTGGTGCTGTGATTCTTTCACCAACAAGCTGTAAAAAAGAAATCTACAGCAGCAGCCCTGTCATTAGCAGTGTTATTCGTATTTGGAAACAAATTAGAACTCATTTTGGGGTGAAGACGTAACCTTTACTAATTCCCATAGCTGACAACCCCTCTTTTATACCTTCCATACTAGATAAAGGTTTTCAGCAATGGAGAGATGCAGGAATTCACACAGCAAGCGATCTGTTTCAAGATGGTACCTTTATTTCCTTTGAAAAAATTCTGGAAAAATACAAACTTCATAGAAGTAATTTTTGTAGGTTCTTGCAAGTCAGGAACTATGTACAATCCTACTTAAACAGATTTGCAACAATTAGCCCTTCATGTCTTGACACCTGCCTTAAGGACTATTTTGGTAAAGGGAAAATGATTTCCTGCATTTATAATACTCTCCAGGCCTCCCAATTACCTACTACATCTTCAATCAAAAGTTTATGGGAGGAAGAATTAGGGTCAGAAATTTCCAATGAGTTATGGGCGGATAGCCTGGAAGAGATTAATAGATGTTCTATAAACTCCAGACACTGCCTCATCCAGTTCAAAATCTTGCATAGACTACACTACTCTTTGACAAAATTAGCTAGAATATTTCCAGGTGTCTCTCCAAAATGTGACAAATGCAGGACGGCTGAGCCCTGCTTCACAGTTATGCATTATGTCCCAGTCTTCAAAGCTTTTGGTGCAATATTTTCGATGTCATTTCTGAAATTACTAGACAACATATTGAACCTGATGAGTTTTTAATCATGTTTGGTGTTTCAAGACATGAGCGTTGCCTGTCCAAGTCTCAACAACGATTTCTTTCCTATGGACTCTTAATGGCCAAAAAGCTTATTTTAACATTCTGGAAAGATAAACTGCCACCTCCTTTCCAGCTGTGGCTTGACGAAATCACAAATACACTACATTTGGAGCATATAAGGCTCTGTCTAAGGAATAAGAGAATACAGTTTTCTAAAACTTGGGAGCCCTTTATAAGGTATTTAGGGGATGAAGGCACAGGAGACTAGGAAGAGAGGGATGTTGACTTAATTTGAGTTGGATCTAAGATCCATTCCACCCCTGGTGTGTTTTTTTTTTTTAATAATAATATTCCTCCCTATGTAGATAATTGTCTTGTTTTGTTTTAGGACTTTCTGTATAATATGTTAAAAAATATGTGCATATGTCTGCATGTACAGTGTATACTTAGACTGTATGTGTAAGTATAGGATTGTTATGTTTATTGTGTATGCAGGTGTATGTATAAATAGTTAATAACTGCAGAAAGTATAACTTGGTTAGATTTTTGTTTGCATAAGGAAAATTCGGAGGAACGTCTGATTTGAATTCAGAAGTTGCCCCGGCAAATTCTTATCATATTCCCCCCCGCAAAAAACTATTCTGAATACTTGAATTCTGCTTTTAAATGCTCTAGTGTGAAGATAAACATGGCGGGGTTTCAGGCTCTCTCAGGGCGGCGGCCGTAGGCGGGGCCTAAACAATGTGACATCACAATGCTCAGAGAATCAAAACGGCATGTCTACTGAGACCGATTTGGTTTATTGGGGATTAAAAAATAAGGAGTAGGTGGATTTTTATCATTGTAGGATAGTTGTGTTCACACACTGCCAACACACATTTATGTCCAAACACCATGTAAAAGTGGATTTTGCATAATAGGTGCCCTTTGAGACTAGTCTCAGCAGTTTATGCAACCAGCCCCATAACTAACTGTTGTTGTACCACTGTGATACCAATGAGATATACACAAATCTAACATTGTAAGATTTGCTCATTCAGTGTTTATTATGCAAATAAGCGGACAACAGCAGGGCCGCAAGGGACTGGATGATGGTCACCCAGTGTTGAGTACAGTATCTCAGACTGCAGGGGATCATGGAGGACAGGCTCAGGTGTGACACTCACTCCTACAGGAGACACAGACTGCTGATGTGTTCTTCCTGGAAGAAGATAAGAGCAGATTCATGCGCACGATGATGAAGGTTGATCACATATGAGATGAAACTCTCTATAACAACATCTGCACATCTGTGGGCACAATCAGGTTCAAGGTTATTAAGGTTTACTAAGTGTGGGAGATTTGTGACTCACTGCGACTGCTGAGGTATGTTACTTATTTTAAAATGTTATAAAATGACATATCACTTGTAGCCTATATTACTCAAGAGACACTTTTACAGCCCTGTTTTTGCAAAAACGGATCTAAACAGTTTTGGTTTCAGAATGACATATAAATCAGACACTGAGACTTACTGTAATGTTTGCATATGTCTACAGTGATCAAAAAGACAGTCAACGCCACTGTCAACATGACAAACACTACTGTCACAATCACAGTTACACCTACAAGACAGAATAATTGCAAAAGCCTCATAAATACATTATATAACACATTGAAAAAATACATCTGTAATATCTCTGAACTTACCCTCACTTTCATAGCAGACAGAGCTCGATAAATTGGCCATGAGTGGTTTGTCTAAGGACGGGTGGTTTACCCAGCAGGAGTAGATTGTCTCATTGAAGGTTTGTGGTGGCAATTTAAGGTATGATTGCTGACTGAAGGATCCATTGAATGATTTGTTTGAGTATGAGCTGTTGAGGACGTCTCCATCTCTGATCCACAACTGTTTAAGAGACTCAGGGTAAAATTCCACAGAGCACAGAATCATGGGAGATCCATCAGGCCTCTTCACACAGGACAGCGACAAGATGGGACGCACTGAGAGGCAGAATTAATGCACAAAATACAATACTTATCATTCAGATCTATCTCTATCGGTAATCTATCGTTTTTTTCTTCTTCTGATTATTAAGTAATGATTTACCAATAACTTGAACTCTTTGAACTCCGAGATCCACTTGAGGTGGTTTTACAATCCTCTTCACAGTACAGGTGTATGTGCCGGTATCCTGAATTTGGAGATTTAAGAGTTCAAATGTTATTTCCTTAGTCTCTGGAATCCATGTGAATCTGACAGGATCTTTACAACCTAGTTTTTTCCATGTATTGTCATAGAAGTAATATGAACACAGTGCAAGATTTAATGTTTGCAGAACTGCTGTCATGCTTTCTGTGTCATTTGTTCGGCTGTAGTTGCATCTGATTATGGCAGGCTGTCCATGATTGACAAATAAAGTTGTAGTGTGATTCACTGCTGCATCGCCAAAAGCTAAAAAAACAAAGACCAGCAACAAATTGAATTTCTCATGCCAAGCTGTGAATTGCAACATTTAGGTTCTCTTTGTGCAGGTGCTTCCTGTGTAATTTGCCGGGGCAAAAAAATTTTTTCTGATAGATTCGACAAGTACTTGATGTATCATTGTAACATTTTAATGTTAGAGGAAATTTCATGTATTTATAATGTTCAGAAAGTGAAGAGTGAAGCATATTAGCATGTCAACAAAAGATAGAAGACAATTTTATTACCAAAAACTGAAAACAGCATCCACCCACAAAAGAACAGAGGGAAACACTGCAAAAAACAAAAAAAAAACACTTTACACATTAAACAGAAATGTCATATGAAATATAAAATTTTAAACAAGTTCTTAAGTAATAAGATTCAGGGCTGCATATTTTGTATTGTTAATTAAGAATTAAGAAACTTTTCGTTTATTAGTTAATTTAATTTACTTTTTTGCATACAGTAATAGCTGCAGTTTTTCTGACATAATGACAAAAGCGAAAAAAATATTAAACATGTTTTCGACTTAGTAAACGCATTATATTTACATACATGTAAAATAGTGTTCAAATATCTTCATAAGAATCACACACTCACCATCTCTCTTTCCAGGGAAAGTGCTGTGTGTGGCTTCTGCCTCACAATGTTTTGCTGAAGTGTCTCATGCTGTGAAACTAGTTTGAGGCGGTGATTTCCTCTTTAAGTAAAGCATCAGTTATCATCAGTCGACAGTAACACATCATCTGAATCCCATCAAATTCCTTGTATATTTCATCACACAGTTTAAAAAGAGGAAATGACTAAAACATTCTAGCAATGAAGGACTGATTCTGTACTAAACAAAAGTTAAACAAAACAAATAAGAAGAACCAAACAAAATCTTACACCCAGGATTGTTTAATCCATTTTCAACCACGAAGACAGTAATATGATAAGGTATACATTATTTCATTTTAAATTTTTGACTCTACAGTTGCATGTTAGCTGGAAAATGATGTAAAAGAGTTGCATCACATCTATGTACTTGTCAACCACAAACACTAGGCGTGCAGGACTGGGACATTTAGCTTCAGGCCTATGACGCACCATGAGTAACTTGTGTAAACAACTAGCACATACGCAGGAAGTTTATCCGGGCCTAGAGATAGTGTAATATAGTGACAGTTTGGTTTGACAGTAGAGAGTTCACCAGGTCCTAAAGGCAGTGTAGTGTGACATTTTGGTTTGACTTTTTATTTATTTAGAAGAAAATCCATACAATTTATCTGTAAATTAATTACAATTTCAATCTTATTAGTCCAAATGCTTCTACAAAATACATAAACTTGACAACACAGTTACCTGAAACATTCTGTCTGGCATTAAAGCAAAGGTTATGTAAGCCGCAGTACTTGGTTCTTATAAACACAATCTTCTGGCTGTTGTTTAGCATAGACTTTATTACTGAACACTTTGCCTTTTCTCTTTCTGCCTGCACAATCAAACAAATCCTTTGATTAAAGTGGTCATATGGTGCTTTTTTAAAGATCATTATTTTGTGTATTTGGTGTAACAGAATATGTTGACATGCTTTAATGTTCAAAAACACATTATTTTTCAAATACTGTACATTATTGTAGGTCCTCTATGCCCCGCCTCTCTCAAAC